CTCTGGGTGAAGAACCTTTTCCTAATATCCAACCCAACCCAGCTTCGTGCCATTTCCCCCACAGAGGGGGGTTCACACAGGGAGGAAGAGCCCCCAGTCAGGAGCTCTACTGAAAAGCCCACTCAGGAAACCCAAAATCCCGACGGAGCCCTCGGTGACTCCACGCCGGAGGATGCTCCACCCTTCCCAGTGCTGGTTTCTCCCCAGTTCCCATGCTGTGGTGCCCACAGGCCCCTCACCAGCGTTGGAACTGGCCGTGTTTCAGGCTGGCTCTTGTCTCCTGGGCTGTGTTTGCTCCCCAGGGCAGGGCCAGGGGTCTGTGGGCGCTCCTGCTATGCCGCAACTGAGACTTCCCTGGGTTGGTGCTCTTATCGGTGCCAGTGGCCTCTGCTCGGGCTGGGGTGTGCCAGGCTTGCTCATCCTGCTTGGCAAAAGGTCTCGAGACCTGCCCCAGTGTCTGCAAGCTCTTGCATCAAGTTGGTCCAGGGAGGATGTGTGTGCACGGCTCGTGGGGCGGAATGAGGGCAGAGCCCGAGCCGGGCTGGGGCTGAATTTCCCCTTTCCCTCTTCCCATGGCCAGCCAAAAACAGCCCCAACACAGCGAAGATGCGCCAAGGGAAGCTCTGCCAGCCCCCTGTCAGCGTTGCTGCCGCGTGAAAAGTTGCTTTCATTTCTTTGTTGAAGGGCAGTTTGACAAAGGACGCGTCGCTCCCGCAAAAAAATCCCTTGTCACAGCAATCCAGCCGAGGTGCCAGGGGGGCCTCCCGTGGCTCACAGGTCCAGGGGGCTCGAGGAGCGAGGGCTCTGTTTGATTTCTGTGGTTTGAGTGACAAATGTGGTGCCAGCGAGGAGTCAGGTTGGAGGCACTTTTGAAGCGGTGCCCGAGCCGTAATCTGGAAATCTGTTTACTTCGTTCCTTCCAGTCGGGGCAACAGCACTTGCAAATATTTTCTGCTTTTTACCTGCACACGTAAGGGTTTGTTGCCTAATTGCGTCGTGAGATCTTACAGAGATCTTTTGCTAATGTGGCAGAGAAGGGCTTGTAAAGGGTTTGTAAAGGGTTTGTAAAGGGTTTGTAAAGGGCCGGGTGGTTTTTCTGCCCGGCAAAGGCGCCGAGGGTTTGCCCCGTGGCCCTCGTGTTCCTGCCGTGCCCCAGCTCCCTTGGCCCCTCTCCCAGGTCGTTGAACAGGCTTTTCCCATCCAGGTTGGATGGAATTTGTGCCTGGACTCCAGCCCCCAGCTCCTGTCTTGGAGAGGGAGCAGCACATTCACCTGCCCCGCCTGTGTTTGCTGGGGGATGAGTCCCTGTGCCTTTGGATGGGGGAGGCTGGGTGTGTTTGCAGGGTCTGCAGCCCCTGCAGGGTCTCCTGGTGGCTCTGACACCTCTTGGAGAGTAGTTTGGGAAGGGAGGGACCTTAAAGACCACCCAGTCCCACACCCCTGCCGTGGGCAGGGAGCAACTTCCACTAGACCAGGTTGCTTCAACCTGGCCTTGAACACTCCCAGGGATGGGGCTTCCTCTGAGAAATCCATCCCATCCCCTCAGCATCCTCACAGGGAGGAATTTCTTCCTAATATCTCATCTAAACCAGCTCGTGGAATCATGGAGTGGTTTGGGTTGGGAGGGACCTTAAAAATCATCCTGTTCCAAACCCTTCCACTATCCCAGGTGGCTCCAGTCTGTCCTTGGACTCTTCAAGGGATCCAGGGGCAGCCACAGCATCTCTGGGCAACCTGTGCCAGGGCCTCCCCACCCTCCCAGGGAGGAATTTCTTCCCAATATCTAATCATCTGTACAGAAATATCGAATCATCTGTAGAGAAATATCCAATCACCCTTTACAAAGGAGTCAGGAAGGGCGGCATCGCTGCGTCGATGATCCTGGAAACCCAAACCTGGCTATTTGGGGACTGTCCCTCTCTTCCCTTCTGGTTTCCCAGACTCTGGAGGTGGCAGTGAGGGGGCCCTGTGCTGCTGGGGGGTCTCAGAGGGCTCAGAGCACACCTTGCTCTGTCTGCTCTGCTGTTTGATCTTCGCTGCCGGGGGCTGTGGCTGCTCCTGCTCCTTCCTAACCACATTACTGGGAGCACTGGTGGCTGTAATCAGGTTCAGTGTGTCCCCAGGCTCACTCACTCCCACCCCACAGAACATTTAGGGAGCCCCCAAGGGCTTGATTCCTCCCAGGGAATGAGATTAGCTCCCGTTCCTCCGAGAGGGATTCTTTTTTTCTCTTTAAGTCTTTCCGACCTTCCTGACAGTGATGTTTGTGGCTCCTTTGGTCCTCACACTGGGGCAGGCTGGGAGTGTCTGGGCTCCCTGGGGGTGGGAATTGTCACCTTTCCATGCCTGCGTGGATGTGCCTGGCACGGAGCAGCCTCTGCCCGTGGTCTGGGGGCGTGAGGGGAGGGTTTCACCCCTAATCAAATCCACGGGGGAAGGGGTGGCATGAGCTGACTTGCGTCAGGGAACGAAAACCTGCCGGTCCCGTGGCACCACCAGCCCTTGCCAGGTCTTGCCCAGCTCCCGGGAAGCTGCAGCCACTCCAGGTCTTGCAGGGAAAAAAAAAAGTGTTTCTTCCAGCCTAGGAGCGGAGGTGAGGGGTGGCACGAGGGATGTGGCAACCCGGGGAGCTTCCCCTGCACAGGCTGGTGCTGAGCTGCTCTGGGAACTCCCACTTTTTTTCCCAGAAAGCTGTCGGTCCGCTGCCTAATAAATCTCATGGAAAGCAGCTCAATAACAGGGCTCTGGGGAGCTCCAGAAGGAAATGGTTTAATTGTCTTTTTTGAGGGGGAAAAGGGTTCCTCGAGTGCCGCAGCCGCGTCTTATGAATGGGCCAATTTTGACTGGAAAAAAAAGCTTTTTTTTTTTTTGTTTTTTTTAAAAAAAAAAGGCAAATTCGTTGCCAGAGGCGCTGAGAGGCTGAGGAGCATCGTGTTGTTTTGGCTGCGTGGTGTTAATTGAGTGTGAGCCGGGGGAGCACAAAACCCTCCCTGGGAGCGAGCGGCCTCTCCCGCAGAGCCCGTGGCAGCACGTGGGGAGGTTTTACTGGAATTTCACAGCGTTTACTGGGATTTCACGGGCTTTACTGGGATTTCACAGGCTTTACTGGGATTTCACAGGCTTCACTGGGATTTCAGCCCCCAGCCTGGTCCTTCCAGCCCCGTGTGGGGCTTCGCTGGGGCGACAACGGGGCGGCTGCGACTTCGCTCTCAGCAGCCCCGAAACTGGTTTGGCCTCTCTGGTGCTGCTGGGAAGAGCTGAGCCCTTCGAACACTTAATTATTCTGCTTCACTTCCAAGAAGTGAAGGCTTAAATGTCAGGTTTAATGACTGAGCAACCTTTCCTGGGGGTGGAGGGAAACTCCCCTGTCTCTCCTCCCGCGCTCTGACGTCGCTTCCATCCCGGGGCTGAGTAACATTTCCCAAGAAGCTGGAGATGGTCGAAGCAGCCCCGTCATCCATGTGGGAATTGCATTTGGCACAGAGCATCACCACCAAACCACCTGCTGCTTTTTCACCCCAGAGCTGGAGGTGTGACGAGGCAGGGGGACACCTGGGAGGGGGTCTGTCTTTTCCTGGGAGCTTCCTCCAGGCAGCACCGACCACCAGGACCCCTCTCTGAAGGTGCCAGCACCACTGGCCGTGCCAGTCTTCAGGGGAGGAAACTCCAAGCTCCTGGAGCAGCTTTGGGGGCATCTCCAGGGTTACAGGGCTGTGGAGCCTTTGGGCTCTGTGTGGCAGCTCTGCTCTCCCCTGGCAAGGCCCAAGAGCACTCCAGGCTTCCCTGGGTCAAGCAAGAGCTTTGCAGTGAGATTTTAGTTGTAGGGTCGTCCTCTTTTTTTCCCCCAACTCCTTTTTGCTCCAGACTCACTGTCTGGAGTTGCTGAGTGACTGATAAAGGGTATTTTACACAGGGCAAGTCCAGCACCTGCCAAAGCCTTTTGAAAGCAGCTGAGATGCAGCGAGGCAGCAGCTGCCTCAGCCCCTGTGGAGACAACATTCAGCCAGGTTTTAAACCAGAAAAAAAAGAGGTTTTCTGGGTGCCATCAGCGTGGAGAGATGCTCTGCATGGCCAAGGGAGCAGGTTCCCATCCAGGTGCTCAGCAGGTGTTTTCCCAAGGTGTCTCTTGGCCCTGTCCTCCAGCACAGCGCTCGGGGGGGACACAAAACCCCTCAGCTGAGGCCGGTGTGATGAGCTGCCTGCCCATGGGATGTGGGTTTCTCCCCTTGCCTTGGCCCTGCGTTGTGGCACCATCATCCTTTGGGTCTCTGAGCTCGTGCTGGACACGGGGGTGACCCGAGGGACCGAACCAACCCATCGCCTGGTGTGAGAACAGGTCACCCCCAGCTCGAGGAGGAGCTCAGGGAAGGCAAAGCACCCTGAGAAAAGCTTTTTCCTGCCTCTGTCCCAGCCTTCTTGGCACCCTGGGAAAAATGGGTTGTTTCAGCGTGGCGTTTCCCAGAGCTGCTGAAAAAACAAAATGATGTGGAAAGGGAGGCAAAACCTTCCCCTTGGGATGCCCAGGTGATTCCACAGGTTTTCAGTGGGCACGGAATGAGTTTGCTGTGTTTGCAGCAGCCACCCAGCTCTGCCTCCCCTCGAGCCCCCCGCGCTCAACAAGCTGGATTGTGAGATTTAAATCGATAGGAAATTATTCCTGAAGGTAAAGAAACACCTCTGGAGCACCTCTCACTCTCCTCTCCCCTTCCTGTGCCCCTTTGTTCTCCACCGTGTTCCTCGGGCTCCCGTGGCAACCCCAGCACGCAGAGAGGGTGGCTGGGAGCTGGGATATCTCCTCCTGGATCTGGGCTGAGGAGGTGGTGTGGGAACCAGACAAGTGGTACCTGAGCTGGCAGGATTATCTGGGAGATCACCCCACCCCGGACACGGTGCTCTGAGGGGCCGGAGCGGGACCGGGGCACACTCAGACACTCCTTGAGTCACCGACCTCGGGAAGGTCTGGGGCTGGCTCAGCTCGTGTCCTGTCTGCCTTTTTTTAGGTGTGGGTGGCTCCATGTCCCAGCTCCAGAGCTCCTGGGACGTGCAGCAGCGGAGCATGGCGTATTTTCCAGATCCAGGTACGGGATGTTCTCCTCGGGGTTGGGTCTGTCTTTTCCTGGGAGCTTCCTCCAGGCAGCACCGACCACCAGGACCCCTCTCTGAAGGTGCCAGCACCACTGGCCGTGCCAGTCTTCAGGGGAGGAAACTCCAAGCTCCTGGGGTTGCTCTGGGAGCATCTCCAGGTGCTGCAGGGCTGTGGAGCCTTTGGGCTCTGTGTGGCAGCTCTGCTCTCCCCTGGCAAGGCCCAAGAGGACTCCAGGCTTCCCTGGGTCGAGCAAGACCTTTGCAGTGAGACTTTAATTGTAGGATTGTCCTCTTTTGTTCCTCTCAACCCATTTTTGCTCCAAACTTGCTGTCTGGAGTTGCTGAGTGACCGATAAAGGGTATTTTACACAGGGCAAGTCCAGCACTAGCCAAAATCAGCAGCTGAGATGCAGGGAGGCCTCAGCCCCTGTGGAGAAAACATTCACCCAGGCTTTAAACAAAAAAAAAAAAAGGTTGCATGATGCTCCCGAATCAGCTCAAAATTTCTCATCCCGAGATGCACTGAGGGGACAACTCTGTCCTCTGTGAGGGGGAACTGAGGCACAGGAGCTGCTGGGAGCTCCCAGGGTGAGCTGAGCTGCACCCACAGCCTTGGTGTGACCTTTGCCAAGATACGGCACCAGGAAGACTTTACAACCTTTATTTGCCTGGTGCTTTTAGTGTTCCTAATAGACAGATTTCTGCCAGCGGATATCACAAGCCGGGGAGAGTCTTTTAAAAGCTCTGTTTAATTCTCATTCCAGCGATCTGCCCTGGGAGCACTATTTCCTCCCACCCTCATTTACAGCCCTGTGAGGGATTTTTTTTTTTTTTAAAAAAAAAACAATCTTCATTTTGAGTCATGTTCAGGTTATTTTCTCACTTACGGGAGCTGGTGCCGCTTCCTGTCAGAGCACGAGGGAAATTCTCTGCTGCATCTGGGCTGTGTCACCTCCTGCCCTGGGGTTTTAGGGCCGGTTCTGCTCCCCCCCAAGGCTTTCTGGAGGAAAAGGGGTAAAGGAAACCCTCAGGGCGTGGGGTGAGCTGTAGGAGCTCTCCCACAAAGGGCTGTGAGTGTGTTCTGTGGGGTGTGGGGAGGGGGATCAGCCCTGGTTTTAGGGGGGACACCAACAGGCAGGGCAGTGGGCACAGCACCGAGCCTGCCAGAGCTCCAGGAGCGTTTGGATGATCCTCTGGGGCACAGGGTGGGGGTTTGGGGTGTCCTGCACAGGGCTGAGGTGCTCCTTGTGGGTCCCTCCCAGCTCAGCACACCCTGTGATCCCGTGAGACCCGGCTTGGTGGTGGTGGGAGCCCCCGGAGCCGGAGGGGACACGAGTTGGGGACGCGAGTTCCTCCCGCCGAAGCCAAGGCGAGGGGGAAAAAAAAACCCAAAACCCCAAAAATCCTTTATTTGCATCTAACCGGCTTTTTGTATCGCTGTGATAACAGCTTGACAAAATAAACCCCTGGCTTTGATCCCCCCCAGACATGGAGCCCGGGGCTGCCAGCACGTCCCTGCCCGACCCCGCCGGCGACGGCGACCGGAACGTGCCGCGGATCTGCGGCGTCTGCGGGGACAGGGCCACCGGCTTCCACTTCAATGCCATGACCTGCGAGGGCTGCAAGGGCTTCTTCAGGTGAGAGGAACCGGCAACGAGGCGCTGGAAAGCGGAGCCAGGGCCTGGGGGTGCCCCGGCAGCCAGGAGGGCCAAGCGTGTCCTGCCTGGGGGGGCATTGTCAGGTGAGGGAGGGGATTGTCCTGCTCTGCACCTGCCACGTTGGGGTGTTTGGGGCACCAAAGTGTAAGATTTTAAGTCATTAGAGAGCATTGAAAGGAGGCCACGAGGGTGAGGAAGGGCCCTGAGGGGAGGGGCTGAGGGCAGTCGGTGTGTTCAGCTGGAGAAGAGGAGGCAGCATTTTGGTGAAGGCTCAGTTTGACCCCTGTCCCAGCGATGCTCCAGGACTGACCCATCCTCATGGCAGTCCAGGGCACTTGCATCAAGCGAGAGAATGACTAATTGCTGGTGAAATGAAGGCACCTGATGATGATGATGATGATGATGATGATGATGACGTGGGATGGGCTGGGAAGGGCCTTGCTCAAGTGTTCTGCACCAGCAAGGCCCGGTTTACACCTTTGAGCTGGGCTCTTGCAGGGCTTGAACTTCTGCAGCAAAGCCATAACTCCTCCTCTGGCAGGAATTTGGGGGTTTTCACAGATCACAGTTTTCCGTGACCTGTTCTCAGCCACGGTGGCTCTGAAGTCACCAACCAGGTCACCACGACATTTCCCCCAATTCCTGCTGCTAAACTCTTCTTTCAGGTGCTCTCCCCTGCTCTGCTCTGGTCTCCCTGCCACCTTCCCCATCCCTGTGGTGACAACAGGCTGGCTTTGGACCCCTGGAATGGCCAGTGCCCCTTTCCTGAGCATGACATGGCTCTTGTACCCCCCCTCAAACCCCATCTCTGTTGTCACACCCCTGGAATCGTGCAGGACCCTCACCTGGGACAGTATTTCTGAGCAGACACCATTGTGTGCCAAGCTCTCCTCCCTAGCCAGCCCTTCATGCCCCAATCAAAGCCTTTATTTTCAATTTAAGGCTCTTGCTACTTTTTAATCTTGCTTTCCAGGCACGCTCTCCCCAAGCCAGGTCTTGGTGTGTTCCCCTCTTGTTTACACTGGCATCTTTACACGCCTTTTTCAACCCCTGAATTAATTAATTCTTGCTGCTGCCACAGCATTGAAGTGCTTTCTGCTGCTGGGAGAGCCTGGACACTAAAACTGCCCCAGGGAAGCTGTGCCTCCCTTTGCTGCCTCGGGGTTTATAACACACTGCGTCCACTCGCTGGTTTTCAACTCCCAGCTCGCGGATCTTTGAGAAAAACCTCTGCCCTGGTATCGATTTCTGGGCACTCCCAGGGCTGGCAGAGGGTGAGCAGCTGGGAATATCGTGGGAATATTGAACCCAGGGGCTGTCTCCCAGCTTTTGCTGGGTGAACTCTGGCTGTGAGGTGACTCTCCCCCTCCCTGGGCCGGGCTGGGACCGGTCCTGCCGCGCCTGGAGCCTCGTGCGGGTGGTGGAGGGACAGGACCTGAGCCTTGGCTCGTGGGGGTGGCAGCAGAGCTGCTGCAGGACCCCCCTGGTGGCTCTCACCTCCCTTGGGGACATACCTGGGACACGGTTTCCCCCTGCTCAAAGTCCCCCAGGAGGTCCTGGGTTTAATGACCCTGTTAATTAGGACTTTATTGGCACCTCCAGGCCCACGTAGCCCTGGGCACAAACAGGCTGTCGGCTCTGCTGGCTTCAAAGTCCAGTTGACTGGTGATGCCAAGGGCAACAGGGACCTTTGATTGGGCTCTGCTGTTTGCTCAGGAGCTCTGAAGCAGCACCTGAGCCAGAGGGATTTATTCCACGGCCCCTTGGCTGAGGCTTCCGTGGCTTCCCTGGTTCCTCCTGCAGGTTTTCCCCACTTTCTGCCCCCGAGGTGGGCATCCCGAGAGCTCCAGGGAGTTCCCCTCACCAAGGGGTGACCTTGGGAGCTCTGTCCCCATCTCCCACCCCCAGGAGCAGCCCCCACAACCTCAGAGCTCTGCCAACCCCTCAGCCCCGGGCGAGCTGGCTCCCACCCTCGGGCTGGCGTGGAGCAGGGAGGGAGCCTCGTTATTTTTAGCAGCCTGGGATTCTTAAATGAGCCTCGAAATGGCCGGTTCTGGAGCTTTATAAAAACACACACGGGAGCCAGACGTCGTGAGCTCCCGCTGTGGGTCCGGCTGCCCCTCCCCAGCCCTGCTGGTGTCACTGGGGGCCCCTGGGAGCCACCAGCCGGGACCTTGGAGGGGCAGCAAAGCAGCTCCTGTGCCCTGGGCTCGCCTAAACTGCAATTTTCATTCCAAACCCATAATGTTGGCCTGCCCTTGGACGCGGGACATCTTTCCCTGCCCGAGGGCCTCGTGTTTCTCCGGCTTGTTTGTGCATTCCCCAGCCTTGCCCTGGGCTGTGGGGGAAAAGATGAGCTGCCTGCTGGCCCCAGAGGCTCATAAACACAAGTTATTTCGCTCAAAGTGGGTGATTTTTGGGACGTTCAGCTCCAAATCCTGACTTGCCCTCAAGCTGAGCCGTGTTTGTCCCCGTTCTTGGGGCAGCAGATGTCCTGCTGATCTTGGAAAAAGGGGAAACCCTGGGGAAAAGCTGAAGTTTGCCAAATTGAGAGCCAGTGGCTGGGTGAAACGGGGATTTCATGGCGTGAGGTGAGTCAGGGAGGGCTCTGACTCCTCTATTAATTTTCCTACAAGCGTTTATTCATGTCAGGTAAAGGGAGAGCAAAGCTTCTTTGTTGGCATCTCCCTTTCTAAAATAGCCTCTAATTACATGCTGCTGGCTCTGCAGCCCGAGGACATATTTTATATTTATATTTATATTTATATTTATATTATTTATACCCTCCCTGCATGGGGCCGGTCAGGGCTGGGGGTCCCCTTGGTGCCTCCCCTTTGGTGCAGGGGTTGTGCCCCATCAGCTCAGTCTTGCAGAGGGGTTTTAGTGCCCCAGGAGGGGCTCTTTGTGGCAGGAGACTCCTCATCCTCGTGCTGAACTCAGCGTTGACTTGGTGGCAGATTTCGGGATTCACGGAATCCCAGAGCGGTTTGGGATGGGAGGGAGCTCAAAGCTCATCTCGTCCCACCCCTCTGCCTTGGCCAGGGGCACCTTCCACCATCCCAGGTTGCTCCAAGCCCCGTCCAACCTGGCCTTGGACACTTCCAGGGATGGGGCATCCTTTGGGAAATCTATTCCAGGGCCTCCCCACCCTCACAGGGAGGAATTTCTTTCCCAATACCCCATCTAACGCTGCCCTCTGGCAGTGGGGAAGCCATTCCCCCTTGTCCTGTCCCTCCAGGCCCTTGTCCAAAGTCTCTCCAGCTCTCCTGGAGCTGCATCTCTGTCCTGTTCTTCCCCTGGGAACATCCCCACTTTGCCTTTGCAGCCTGGCAGCACCCAGGGCTTGGTTTGCCTCCGTTCCAAATCACCTCATTTAAACCCAGGCACCTTTAGAAACCTTCCCAAACGGAGAGAGGAGCTTTGCTCACTGAGGAACTTTATCCAAGGCCAAGTGACATCTCCAGAGGCAAGGGAGAAACTGCCCTTTGGATGGAGCAGCTCAGCTCTGCCTGGAAAGTGCCATTTTAGAGCCTCTCACCCTGCTGCAAGGCCCTCCTGGGAGCTCTGGCTTTGCCCCTTTGCCTCGGAAGATTCTGGCTCTGCCCCTTTGACCCTTTGCCTTGGAAGATTTTTTGGCTTTGCCTCTTTGACCCTTTGTCCTTGGAAGATTTACAGCCCCGATTGCAGCGGTGGGTGAACATGGCACAGTGTGGTTTTGGTGGAAGAGAGGCTTGTTATTTTAAGTGTTGTTTCTCTTGTATCCTGCAGTGAGATTTCTTTCTCCTGCACACACAAACATGTGCTCCAGCCAGTTATTCCAGCAAAGCCAGGCTTAAAGGTGGGTAAATGTTTAATAACATGGCCCCCACTCTGCTCTCTTTTGTTGCTGGGGGGGTTTCTCTGCAATCCTTCCACCCATCTCATGGCCTTCAAAATACCTGTGCAGATCCAGAAAGCTGCTTTACCTGCCAGGTTGGACAGGGCTTGGAGCAACCTGGTCTAGTGGAAGGTGTCCCTGCTGGAACAAGATGGGCTTTAAGGTCCCTTCCCACCCAAACCATTCTGGGATTAACCTGTGGTTGAACCCCTTGGCTGTGTCCCTGTGAGAAGTTCTCCTTCTCCACACTGTCCAGCAGTGCCTGAACCTCTAGCTCAAAGCTGTAGATGCACCCAAACATGTGCAGCCTCTCCAACTTCACAGAATCCCAGAATATTCCCAGCTGGACGGGCCCCACAAGAACCATCAAGTCCAGCTTTTAAGGGAATGGCCCGTAGGGGGGTTGGCCCCACACCTTTGGGTGCTCTACCCAGCTGAGCTCATCTCAGGGTCTTCTCTTGACCTTCTCCAGCTGAACACAGCCAGGTCAGAGACACCCCCAACAACCCCTCGGCAGCATTTTGCCGTCCGGGAGCCGCGTTCGTCCTCCCGTCTCCTCCCGAGGTTTGGAGCGGCCTCTTGGAGAGCCAAACCGGGGCTGACTGGGTGTTTTTCTGCCCCTCCCCAGGAGGAGCATGAAGAGGAAGGCCATGTTCACCTGCCCCTTCAACGGGGACTGCAAGATCACCAAGGACAACCGGCGGCACTGCCAGGCGTGCCGGCTCAAGCGCTGCGTGGACATCGGCATGATGAAGGAGTGTGAGTACGACCCCGGGGGACATCCCAGCTCCAGCTGGCCATGCCCAGCTCCCTCTCCGTCCCCAGGGCTGGGAAGGGCAGCACAAAACCTGGACACCCTGCCGGGACTCGAGGGGGCTGCAGAGGGCAGCAGATGTGGTGGGTTAATCATCTGAGAGGAGCTCGTTTAATGATCCCTGTGGGCACTGGGGTGATCCAGGAGCTGCTTTTCCCAAGGCCAAGTGGCTTTTCCCGGCTCTCGAGGGGCATCAGCTTTTTGTGAGAGTGTCCAGGGAGGTTTGTGGTCGATGCCTGGGCACACTGGTTGATTCTGTTGCGTCTTGAATTCCTCGGGTCGTGCTCGAGGGCCTCTCTCTGCACGCCAGAGGGTGATGGTAAATCTGCTGGTTAAATTTTAGGCGTGAGTTTGGGTTTGATTGTGGGGTTTAGACAGAAAAAAACACCTCCTGACACCTAAAGATTATATCCATGCCTAAAATATATCAGTTTTTATCAGTTACTACACAAAGACATTTTTCTGCGTGTTTTGGATTTGGGCAGAAAGTTTCCTGTATCCTCTCTGCTCGGAGCAGAAAGTAGGTGTTTTTGAGACTGATATTTGTGGTTATTTTCCCCCATCAGTTCTCTCTCAGAGGGGCAGTCCTGCAAATTCCAGTGGACTTGTGTTTTTCCTTACCCTTTGTGTCCTGTGTCTGAGCAAAGAAATTAATGTTCGTTGGTTCTGAATTACAGAGTTCTCGTTCACTAATTAGTGTTCTATCTATTGGTTACTGATTTCTCACTGCTTATGTTAGTTAGTCCACACTTTTAGTCATTTTAGTATCTTTTTTTTCCACCTGTAGGGACTTTCCAACACAAAGGCTGAGTCTTTGTTGGCCTCTTCTTTATCTTCTGCTTTCTGTAAGATGTCCTCGTGGTCCATAAATTCTGCATTCCAGATGTCCAACTTCAACAATCCATCTTTCCCTCCCAGGCTTTGCACGTCGGAGCAAATCAGAGTTAGTTTATCAAAACCTTAATTTAAATTAAGACTTTAATTAACTTCAATTAAAACTTAATTTTCCCGAGCTGTGTTCCCACAAAAGCACCTTGTGACAACTTTGCTTAATGCTGACTAAGAGTAATTTAAGAATAGCATAATTAATATCTATTGGTTATGATTAATTAAGACAATGAATTAGAAGTTAATTAAATCCATTAACTAAAATTATTAGAAAGTTCTGTCCTTTCCAACAGAGCTGGATTGTGTTTTCCTCCTCTGTAGCTCTGGGCTCTTTTTTTTTTGGGCCCTGCCATGTGGGTCCATCCAGCCACGTGCACAGCAGAGTCTTAAGCAAACAGCAGAGGGAAGTAAAGTAGTTTTTAACCCAATCCAAACACGCTAATGTTGCCCAAATATTTATTTTCCTCGGCTTTATTTATGGATAAGCAGCTTTTAAAAACAAAATGTGTTTGACGTGCTCCCCTCCTACGTCGCACGAGCTCTCCACGTCCCGGCTCCTCGGGAGCAGGTCGGTGCTCAGGGGGTGTTCAAACCCAACAACAGCTCCTGCTGGGAGACCGTGGGCAGGGGTGTCCATGGCCCTGGAAGATGGAAGGGGTGCTCCTTGCCTCGTGTGCTGAGCAGGGAACAAACAGTGCCACCGAAAGCCTCCGGGTCCTTGGGGAAATCAGAACGCGGAGGGGTTTGCAGGGAAGCAGCACCTAAATATTCCACGGTCCTAAAGATCCCTGATGAAGAGAAAAATCCCTGGATCTTATTCTTTTGAACCAGAGGGGGAGAAAGGCCACACAGGGCACCGTCTGCCCCCGAGTTTTGGGGAGCACGAGGAGCCCGTGGTGGGCGCTGGTTGTGCAACTCGTTCAGGGCTCGTTTGGAGCTAATGAGGGAGACTTTTGACCTGCACTAATTACTCAGGGCAGGCTGGAGAGTGCCTGGGCAGAGATGCCAAGCTGTTTGCTCCAGGTGCCAGGGACAGGCGTGTTCTGCACGGGAGTTAACGTGTAAGTGACCCCGTTAGCAAACCGTGACTGGATTAACCAAAACCAACCCCCCGGGACTAAAAATAGCCTTCCATGGACTTTGCCACCGGACACTGCTGTTATTTTTAGATGGAATAAGGCATCTTGAAGCTTTTGAGGGGGTTGGTGTCTTCCACAAGGCTGTTGTTTGTGTTGTTTGGGAATGTCTGTGTCGCTCTGGAAGGCAGGTCTCCAGCCTGGGGATGCCTCTGGCTGTCCTGTTCCCTTCCTGCTGCTTTTTCCTGGGATGATAATGATAATTCCTGGCATGAATGGGCTGTAAAGCAGGGCTGAGGGTCTGGGGCTGGTCTATCCCACCTGCTGGTTTAGGTGGCCAGAAAATGGGGGGGGGGGGGGAATTACTCCTTCCCTTTTTCCAGCAGCCTGGAGCTGAGGAAGGGACACCCATCCCTCGGGGGCTGGATCCACACCGTGGGGTGTTGGATGGGCTCCCTCAGGGAATTCACCTCCCAGTGTCTCTGCCCCTTCTCCCCCAGCCTTTAACAGCTCCTGTGTTCTCAGTCTTCACGTGTTCTCCAGAGAAGGTGGTGCCACTCAACCCTCAGCACCCCTTATCCCTTTTCCAAGGAAAAGGCTTGCTGGGATGTGGCTGGAGTCCTGAGCAGCTGGTGCTCAGCGCCCTCCCCACGAGGTTTGATTTATGATCTCAGGGCTGAAAATCCCCAGAGGGGAGAACAAAAACAGAACCAAACCAGCATCTCACAGCCAGGGAGAGGAGCAGAAGTGGGAAGGAATTTCCCTGGAATTTCCCCAGATGCTCAGGAGGGGAATGGGGAGCAGGAAGGGTTATGGTTGTGTAGGGTGAGGGTGAGCAGGGAGGGACACAACCTCTCCTCCTCTCCTCCACTTCCCAAAGAGGTGGTGGCCCTCAAAGCCAAGACATCCCTGCTGCTCTAAGCATGGGATGTGTTATTCCCGAGCCCGGGAGTCGCTGCCAGGCTCCGGCACTCCCAGATGTTTCCTAAACTTCCTTTTTCTTTTATATTTGGCTGCTCTTTCCTGCTTGATGGAGCCTTTGTGCTGCTCCCTCCTCCCCCCATCCTGCAGCACTTCCAAGCCCCTGGTTTTGGCCAGGGGTGCAGAGTTGGATCCTCACCCTGTATCCCTGTATCCTCGTGCTCCACAATCCCAGGGGTGTTGGCCGTGGCTTTCCCTGCTGCCTTGTGGCGTCTCCACAGAGGGCCAGTGTCTGGCTGGACGTGATGGGCAGATGTTATCTCGGCCTCCACACGGATTTGGGGTCAGGGCAGCCCACAGAGGCTCAGCCACGGCGCCGGCTGTGCCAGGAGTCTGTGGCTGGATGGCTCTGGCTCGGCGCTCGGAAAGCTTGGAGCTGGGATGGGAGCTGGGATCTCAGGGCAGGTGTTGAGCCGCTTCCCAGCCCTGTATTCCCACTCCCATCCTCCCGTGAGTCCAAATAAGCACTGAATCCTTTTCCCCAGCACTTTATAAAGCAGTGGAGGGGGGGGTCACTGCACTGACATCCCTCATCCATGTTATCCCTGCTCCTGTGGGGAAGCCGGTTCCTCTGGCACGGAGCGTTTCAGGTTTGCTGCTAATCACCAGAAACAGCTCCTGCCAGGCTGAGAAATGCCACTGCCAGACTGTTGCCAGCCTGGTTGAGGGCTGGATTCCCTAAAAGAGGGTGGGAAGTCCCAGGCTGACTTCCCTGGCAGTCTTGCCCCAGCACAGAAACATCCTTATTTTTCCATTCCGCTCTGAGGATGCCTTCTAATGGTCCTGGGATCATAGAATAGTTTGGGTTAGGAGAGGCCAATAGAGGTCATCTAGTCCTTGCAGGATCCCAACTTTGCCTGGTGTAACCTGCAAGAATCCCCTCTGAGGCCCCGATCCTCGGGACACTTCCAGCACCGCGGCCGCAGCCAAGGGCTCGGCTTTGCCCCATCCTCCTCCTCAACCCCACACGTGGCTTCCCCCACCAGTTCCTCCCCATGCCCACATGGATCTGATGCTTTTGTACGAAGAACTGGGAGGGGGGATGGCAAAACTCTTGATTTCTCTCCCCGAGCAGTCGCGCCGTGCCCCGCGGAGCCGCCGTAACGCGCCCGCGGCCGAGGTGACCTTTCAGCTCTATCTGCTCATTCCCATCTCTCCGAGACCTTCTGGTGCCCTCTGAGGTTGTGCAAGTTTGAAAAGGGATCGGAAAAATGCCGTTGGCTAAAGGAGCAGGGACAGCAAACAGCTCCTTGCCTGGAGCCCCACGGCTGCAGCTCCCTCCGCCCTCCGCCAACCTCTCGGCCCAAATTCCACCTCGACTCGCCCAGAGTCAAATCTCCTCATGCAGGGCAGGCTCAGCCACCTCGGCATCAGATAACACGCTTGGGGTTTTCTGTAATGCCCTGGTGAAAGGGCTAATAACAGCCTGAGGAAGGGGAATTGCTATTTTTAGGTGGATGTGTGTTACCAAGCGCTTTCGGGAGCGGGCGACGCGGCTACGGGGATGGAGGTTGAACCCAAGAGATCTCTGCAGCTCCCTTGTGCCTTTCTTCTCTTTCAGCCCTCTCAGGCCACTCAGGTCTCCAAGCTCTTTTTTATAAAGTTAAGATTTGAGTCCAGATTGCCTGTGGCTGGTTCCCATTGCCTAAATAAAGGGGACAATCGCCTCGGAGTCCAACCTTTGGCTGCTTCTGAGGACCATCACCCCTAACAAAAGCCATAAATACCCACCCCTGGGAGTGGGGGGTGTTTATGTGTGCCCTTAGCTTAAACATAAGGTTAGAACTCCCCCGGGGATGCTGCAGAAGTGCTGCTGGATACCCAGGGTGGCAGCTGGGGCCGAGCAGAGCTGCGCTGGGCACTGGAGCTGGGCGAACCCACTGACCCGAGTCTGGCGGGATCAGGATTTCTGTCACCTGGAAAGCACAGAGCAAACAGCGAGGGAGCAGAGCGGGCGTGTGGCAGTGCTCATGTGGCCTTATCTCACCCAGCCCTTGCCTAAAAGCACCATAAACTGCCAGGCAGTGACCCGGCAGCCGAGGTGACAGCGGGGTGGGGTCGATGCAGGTTCAATGACTGATTATCCAGGCGATGGGGACACTCTCTGCCGCAGCCTGGGGTTGCTCCAGTCCCTGTTTCTGCCCCTTCCCCTGCCCCACAGTCATCCTGACGGACGAGGAGGTGCAGAGGAAGCGGGAGATGATCCTGAAGCGCAAGGAGGAGGAAGCGCTCAAGGAGAGCCTGAAGCCCAAGCTCTCGGAGGAGCAGCAGAGGGTCATCGACATCCTGCTCGAGGCCCATCGCAAAACCTACGACCCCACCTACGCCGACTTCTCCAAGTTCCGGGTACGGCCGGGCCGCCCCCGCCCCCATGAGGGCTCCAAACCCCTCTCACCCCTCAGAGAGGAGTTAAAAATCCCCCTGCGGAACCCTCGCTGCTCGTGGCAGCAGGTGAACAACCACCACGCGTCTCCCCTTCCCTGCCCCGTTCCTCACGCCCTGCCCTTCTCTTCCAGCCCCCCGTGAGAAGCCACCCCAACAACAGGGGGGCAACAAAGTCCTCCTCTCTCCTCACCCAGGACCTGTCAGAGGAGGATTCCACTGATCTCTTCGGCTCCGATGCCTTCAGCACATTCCCAGGTACCACACTCACTTCCCTGGGGGTGACGGGGGAGAAATGCAGTAGTTTGACCTAAATCTGACGCTTCAGACCCTTGTTTTACCTCCTGTGGCTGTAAAACCCTCCTGGGGGTGTTGCACTGTCAAGCCCTGAGTGTCTCCCTCTCTCCAGAGTCCGTGGAGCCCCGGATGTTTTCGAACCTGGTCCTCTCCGAGGAGAACGACGAGAGCTCCTCCATGAACATCGAGTTCTCCCAGCTCTCCATGCTCCCACACCTGGCTGACCTGGTCAGCTACAGCATACAGAAGGTGATCGGCTTTGCCAAAATGATCCCGGGATTCAGGTGAGACGTTTGCTCCCAGGTCTGGCGTCCAAGGTGGTTTTCCACTCTTGGGAATCCTGTCCTGCCCTCCACAGCCAGATCATGTTCTCTGCTTCCCCTTCACAGCTGTCCCTCGGCTCTGTCCCCTTCCCAGGTCTGTTCCTACTTTGATGTTTTCTGTCTCTGATGTTTCCTGTGGTTCTCCTCTCCTCTCTTTCCAAACTCTGGAAAATTCACCCAAACTCTGTCAGCGAAACAACTCGGGCTGCTGCACCCTGAGGGGTTTGTGAAGGGCCCTCAGGTTCTCTTTCACTCCAGGCTGGTGCCCAGGGCGTGGACAAATTCACCTGCAGGAACTCCTGACACAGGAACCGTGGGGAGGGAAGAGCTGGGCTGCCCCAGGATGGGGTGACCGATGGGACCCTGACAGGGGTGGTGGTTTCTGTCCCTCTGCTCGTGGACAAGTCTCACCTCAACCTCCCCCCCCCATGTGGTGCAGGGACCTGTCAGCAGAGGACCAGATTGTCCTGCTGAAGTCCAGTGCCATCGAGGTGATCATGCTGCGCTCCAACCAGTCCTTCACCCTCGAGGACATGAGCTGGACCTGCGGCAGCAACGACTTCAAGTACAGGGTCAGCGACGTCACCCAAGGTAAAGCTGCCAGACCCTCCCCGCTAAGGAATCTCATCCCAGCCTTAAGTTCAGGCACAGAAATCCCGTGGGTTTTTCCCTGGAAAGCCATTCCCTCTGCACCCATCAGAAAAGGTGCTGGACCCTGCCCTGAACCTCTTGCACTTGAGGATTTGAGGGCCAGCGTTAAGAACAGGGGTGCAGGTGGCAGAGCAGGACCTTAAATCTCCGTGGGAGATCCTCTTCCAGAGCCAGCCGTGCTAAAGGTCCGTTCTCTTCCCAGCCGGCCACAGCATGGACCTGCTCGAGCCACTTGTGAAATTCCAGGTTGGCTTGAAGAAGCTGAACCTTCACGAGGAAGAGCACGTGCTCCTCATGGCCATCTGCATCCTGTCCCCAGGTAGGACCTGGCCAGGGGTTGGCGTGTCCCCAAAAAAAAGGGTGGGAGTCACCTTGAATACTGGGGGTGGTTTTGGGCACCGCAGTATAGGGAAGATATCGAGCTGTTGGAGCATCCAAAGGAGGGTAACAAAGGTGGGGAAGGGCCTTGAGGGGCTGAGGGTACTCGGTGTGTCCAGCTGGAGAAGAGGAGGCTGAGGGGAGACCTCACTGAGGTCTTCAACATCGTCAGGAGGGGCAGAGGAGGGGCAGGGACTGAGCTCTGCTCTGGGGAGAGCAGGGACAGCACCCAGGGAACGTTCTGGAGCTGTGCCAGGGCAGGGTCAGGTTGGATCCCAGGGAAAGGTTCTTTCCCCCGAGGCTGGTCGGGCACTGCCCAGGCTCCCCAGGGCAGTGGGCACAGAGCTCCAGAGTGTTCAGATGATCCTCTGGGGCACATGGGGTGACTCCTGGGGGCAATTGAGGGTTGGACCGGACGATGCTTGGCGGTCCCTTCCAACTCAGCACCTCCCGTGATCCCTGGTGTTCCCCAGACCGCCCGGGCGTGCAGGACACCTCGCTGGTGGAATCCCTGCAGGACAGGCTCTCGGAGATCCTGCAGACCTACATCCGCTGCCGGCACCCGCCCCCGGGGAGCCGCCTGCTCTACGCCAAGATGATCCAGAAGCTGGCGGACCTGCGGAGCCTCAACGAGGAGCACTCCCGGCAGTACCGCTGCCTGTCCTTCCAGCCCGAGCACAGCATGCAGCTCACGCCGCTCGTGCTCGAGGTCTTCGGCAACGAGATCTCCTGACTCGGGTGTCCCGGGGAGCTGAGCCAGCCACGGGGAGAAGGGAGAAGCCAGCCTGGCTTTTCCCGAGCTCCCGGGCAGGAGTTTTGTACCTTGGGTTTGGTTTCGTGCTCCTGGAAGCCCTGCTTTGTTTGCAGGTTGGCAGGGATGGACCCGGATCCGTGTGGTTTCCCCACCAGGAGCAGCTTTCCCTGCTGTCTGTGCGAGCCGATTTATCCCTTTATGGATGTTTTGAGGCTGGGCTGCCTCAAATCCCTTCTTTTTTTCACCTGGACAGTGGGGCTGGTGGGAAGGAGAAGCACTTGGGGTGGTTTTGGACTCAGGGCACCGCTGACCATCCTCTGCTCCCACCCTAAGTCCCGCAGCACTCGCCCCCTGCCCACTTCCAAAGGGAGATGCCAGTGGGATTGAACACCCCGAGTCCCAGCCAGGAGGGGCCGTGTCCCCACGGGTGACCGGCTCAGACACATCCCGGGTGCCACCGTTGGACTGGGATGGGCCAGAGGTGGCTGAGTGAGCTCAGAGAGGGGGAATTTGTCCTCAGCCCCCAAAGGAAAGAGCTTTATTTGCATTCCCAGCACTGCCTGGAGGTGGGGGGAAGGGGAATCTCTGGGTGACTTCCCTCCCCTTTGGAGCTGAACCCCTCTGTTTGATGGGATGACAACCCCTGGGATGGGGCAATGGGGAAACAACCCTCAGGATGGGGGAACAACCCCCAGGATGGGGAAACGACCCCCGGAATGTCGAGGTGACCACGGTCCCAGCTCGGCTTCCTCCCCCTGCCGTGTTCTGTGTCCTGCTGGAAGCAGCCCTGGAGGCAGCTCCGTGCCACTGTCCCGACCCGGGGCCGATGGAGTGAACCCCGGGAAGGGGGATTTGAGATTTGGGAGCTCCGGGAAGAGGCGTCACAGCCCCCCGGGCCGTGCACAATGTCCGGAGGGGCCCCGGCTCCCGGCGGCTCCTGCTCCGGCCAATAAACTCCTGCTTGGGCAAATCAACACAGCCCCGGGCTGGCCTGGGGGCTGCGTGTCCGTCTGTCCATCCGTCCGTTCCTGCGTGTCCATCCCGCTCTGTCCGTCTGTCCATCCGTCTGTCCGTCCCTGTGTGTCCATCCCAGTGTGTCCATCCGTCCATCGGTCCCCGCGTGTCCCTGTCCGTGTGTCCCCGTGTCTCTGTGTCCCTGTCCTCGTGTTCCTGTCCCCGTGTCCCTCTCCCCGTGTCCGTGTGTCCGCGTCCCTGTCCCTGTCCCCATGTCTCTATCCGTGTGTCCCTGTCCGTGTGTCCCCGTGTCCCTGTGTCCCTGTCCCCATGTCTCTATCCGTGTGTCCCTGTCCGTGTGTCCCTGTCCGTGTGTCCCCGTGTCCCTGTGTCCCTGTCCCCATGTCTCTACCCGTATGTCCCTGTCCGTGTGTCCCCGTGTCCGTGTGTCCCTATGTCCCTGTCCCCATGTCTCTATCCGTGTGTCCCTGTCCGTGTGTCCCTGTCCGTGTGTCCCTGTCCGTGTGTCCCTGTCCCCATGTCTCTATCCGTGTGTCCCTGTCCGTGTGTCCCTGTCCGTGTGTCCCCGTGTCCCTGTGTCCCTGTCCCCATGTCTCTACCCGTATGTCCCTGTCCGTGTGTCCCCGTGTCCGTGTGTCCCTATGTCCCTGTCCCCATGTCTCTATCCGTGTGTCCCTGTCCGTGTGTCCCTGTCCGTGTGTCCCTGTCCGTGTGTCCCTGTCCCCATGTCTCTATCCGTGTGTCCCTGTCCGTGTGTCCCGTGTCCCCGTCCGGGTCCCTCTGTTGTATCCCCGCATTCGGCCGCCAGGGGGCGCTATCTCCACGAAGCGGTGCGTTGGCCCCGCCCCCTTTCGGGGTTAGCCGTGACCAACTGCGCATGCGCGAGGCGGGGTTTAAATGGGGCTAGAAACCGGGGAGGCGTGGCCACACATGCGCGGGAGAGGCATCGCCGCGTGCGCGTTGCCGGGGGCGGGATGGGGCGGGGTCTGTGCGTTGAGGGGGCGTGTCCGGGGGCGGGGCCATGCGCGGCCTCTCCCGCGCCGTCCGGCTCATGGCGGGGACCGGGGTCGGGACCGGGATCGGGGGCTCCGGAGGCTCCTCCATGGCCGGGATCGGGCCCGGGGCCTCCGTCGCCACCGCGGCCGGGCAGAAGCGGCCGCGTCCCGAGCCCGCCCCGCTCATCGGCACCCACGACGGCACCTTCCACTGCGACGAGGCGCTCGCGTGTTTCCTGCTGCGGCTCCTGCCCCGCTACCGGGTACGGTCCCGGGCTCCATGCAACGGCACCGGCACCGTGCGCTGCCGGGGCCCGGCTCCCTCCTCGGGGCTCCCCCGTGACCTCGCTCGGGGCTCCCAGTCCCACCTGCGGCCACCGTCGGGTCTCCCGGACCCGCGTGGGGGTCCTTGGGACCCACCCAGTGGCTGCTCGGGGTCCCGCCTGGGGGTCACCCTGAAGCCCCTCCTCGGGGTCCCTTGTCACCTGGGGCTCACCCTGAAGCTCTCAGCCCCTCCTCGGCGTCCCCGGGCCCCGGGGGCAGCTCTCGGGGGTCTCCGGTGCTCCGGGGGACCCTCACGCTCCGCGTGCCCCCCGGCAGGACGCGGAGGTGGTGCGGACGCGGGACCCCCAGCGCCTGGCCCAGTGTGACGTGGTGGTGGACGTGGGGGGCGAGTACGACCCCGAGCGGCACCGCTACGACCACCACCAGAGGTGAGACCCACCCCCGGCCCTCCCGCTCGCACAGCGGCGTCCCCGGGGGTCCCTGGGGCTGACCCAGGTGCCCTGCAGGTCCTTCACAGAGTCCATGAGGAGCCTCCGGCCCGACAAGCCCTGGAGCACGAAGCTGAGCAGCGCCGGGCTGGTCTATTGTCACTTCGGCTCCCAGATCCTGGCGGCGCTCCTGGGGCAGCCGGAGGACGGGCCCGTGGTCACGGCGCTCTACGATAAGGTACGGGGGGCTCCGACCCCCCCAGTGCCACAGCTCTGCCCAGGGCTGCTCCTTTTGGCGGGGAGGGGGTGTCACCCCACAGGAGATTCCAAGAAAGAGGCGACCGGTTTGTGGCAGCTACTGGTGGGTGGTTGGGCTCTGCTGTGCCCCCCAGTGCTGCCCCCATTGTCCCCCTCTTGCCTTCCCCCCATTTTCCTCCTCCTGTCCTCTCACTGTTCCCTCCTTTGCTGTCCCCTTCTTTCTCCTCTGTCCCCTCACAGTCCCGTTGTCCCCTCACTGTCTCCTCCTGTCCCTCCACTGTTCCCCTGCTGTCTCCATTGTCCCCTCACTGCCCCCCCGTCCCTCCCCAGCTCTACGAGAACTTTGTGGAGGAGATCGACGCCATCGACAACGGGATCGCGCAGGCGGAGGGGGAGCCCCGCTACGCCCTCACCACCACCCTGAGCGCCCGCGTGGGGCACCTGAACCCCCGCTGGAACGACCCCGACCAGGACACCGAGGTGGGCACGGGCACCGCGGCCCCTTGGGGACACCCGGCTCAGGGACACCCAGGATGGGGACACCCGGCTTGGGGACACCTGGGATGGGGACACCCAGCTTGGGGACCCCCCTGACTCCCCATTGTGCCCCCAGGCGGGGTTCAGGCGGGCGATGGAGCTGGTGGGGAGTGAGTTCCTGGACCGGCTCGACTTCTACCACCGGGCCTGGCTGCCGGCACGGGCGCTGGTGGAAGAGGCTGTTCGGCGCCGCTTCGAGGTACCACCCACTGATCTGGGGGGGTCTGAAAGTGGGGGGGCAGCTCTGGGGTGTGGGGAGGCCAAATGGCCTCAGTATGAACCTCCCTGCATGGCCCTGCAGCCCCCACTGTGCCCCACACAGGGCTCTGTACCCCCAAACAGGGCTCTGCACCCCCACTCTGCCCACCCTTCTCCCCACCCCATCCACACCCCCCTATGCATGTGGGGGTCTCTGAGCCCCAAGGGGTGAAGCTGAGCCCCGGGGCCATTTGGGAGCTCTGGGGACGGTCCCCCAGAGTGCCCGTGGTGTCCCCCCTCCCAGGTGGACTCGAGTGGGCAGGTGCTGGAGCTGCCCCAGGGCGGCTGCCCCTGGAAGGAGCACCTTTTCCAGCTGGAGAAGGAGCTGGCCCTGCCCAGGCCACTCCAGCTCGTGCTGTTCCCAGACCGGGGTGGGCAGTGGCGGGTTCAGAGCGTCCCCACGGGACCCCACACCTTCCAGAGCCGGTGAGACCCCTCCCCTCACACTGTGCACCCCCACTCTGCCCCCCTGTACCCCCCCCACAGCTCTGCACCCCCATTCTGCCCCCCTGTACCTCCACTCTGCTCCTCCTGTACACTTCCCCACAGCTCTGCATCCCCCACTCTGCCCCCTGTACCCTCATTCTGTCCCCCTGTACCCTCACTGCCCCTCTCTTTACCTCCACTCTGCCCCTCTGTATCCCCCCCACGGCTCTTCACCCCCATTCTGCCCCTCTCTGTACCCCTACTCTGCCCCTGTACTCCCATTCCACCTCCCCTGCACCCCCCCCTCTGCCCCCTGTGCCCCCCCCGTTTGTCACCCACTGTCCCCCGTGTCCCCCCAGGCTGCCCCTGCCCGAGGCGTGGCGGGGGCTGCGGGACGAGGCCCTGTCCCAGCTCTGCGGCGTCCCCGGCTGCGTCTTCGTCCACGCCAGCGGCTTCATCGGCGGCAACCGGAGCCGGGAGGGGGCCCTGGAGATGGCACGGCGGGCACTGCGGCACGGGGGGGGCACGCAGAGCGGGTGAGCCCCCCCTCCCATCGCCATCACCCCAAAAGGGACCCCCCGGCCCAGCGCGGGGGGTTCCAGGGACAGCTGGGACTGTTCCTGTAATGGGATCGCAGCGAGATGCTCCGAGGGACCTGCCGGGGTGGGGGGCAGCCCCCCCGGGGTGGCAACGTGCCCACCACCCCCGGCACTGGAGGGGCACCAGCCCAGTCAGAGACTTGCTGGCTCTGTTTCTCTGGGGTTTGCTCCCGTTCCTGTATATACCCCCCCCCCCCCATTCCGAGGGGTTTCCAGCACCAGTAAAGACCAGTGTGTGCCCAGTGGATGCGCTATTGGGGGTCCCAAGGGGGTGGGCAGGGCTGGGGGTTGCTGTGAGGTGGGTACAGCCACGGGAGCCAGTGCCTCCCCTCGCCCTCTCCGCCCCGATCTCGCCTATCAGCCGCGGGGGGGGGGGCACAGAGCCCCCTCTCCCGTGCCACCCATCCTCCCGTGCCACCCGTCCTCCTTCCCGGGGCAATGCAGGCAGCCTGGCTGCTCCTGCTGGCGCTGGGGCTCCCCGGCCACTGCCGGTGCCCAGGGGGGGCCCCCCGGGCGCTGCCCCCCCACAACGAGACGCTGGGCGGGGCCGGGGGGGCGCGGGCCCCCGACGCGGTGGTGCTGGTGGCCGTGGGGGGGTGGCTGGGGGCCCTCCTGCTCTACGTGGGCCGGTTCGTGCGGAGGAGCCGGGCGGAGACGCGGCTGCACCTGGAATACCTGCGGGCACTGCCCCTGGAATACCTGCGGGCACTGCCCCGGGGGGAGGAGGAGGAGGAGGAGGAGGAGGAGGAGCCGCTCAGCACCTTCCTGGGAGGCAGCACCGGGAGCAAACCGGGCAGTGCCGAGGGGTGAAGCCCCCCCGGTGCCACCCCAGCAGCAGCGGTGGGTTCATCCCCCAGTTTTTCTCCCGGGATCCTCCTCGTGCCTGTGCAGCCCCACGGAGGGGCTGCATGCAAGGGGGGTGGGGGGGGCTCCCTGTCCCACCTCGGGATTTGAGGAGCATTTTGGGGGTCCTGGGGGAGGTGGGGGGTTGGGTTGTGGGGGTGAGCAGGGATCCTGCACTCTCCCCATTATCCCTGTTATTGCAGTGTAATCCCAGGGATTAACCATATGTAATCCCGGGATTTATCCACGCTGCTTCCCCCTCCATTAATCCCTTCTCTGGGCGGGGGGGGGGTCCATCTGCTCCCCCCCCACCCTTTGGTGCTGGTGAGGGGGCTCACGTGGGCTGGCACGAGCACCCCGGGGCCCCTCCAGCCCTGCTCACAACCCGACTGGGCTCAAGTTTGGGGGTTTATGGACCCACAAGGGTTTCGGTTCACTTTGGAGGGCTGTGCCCACCCACAAGGCAAGGCCCGGGGGGCTGTGTGTGCAGCCAAGGACCCCGAGCCCCCCCTGCCCTCACCTTTCCCCAAAATGCGGCTCTTTAACCCCAAAACAGCAGCCCTGGCCCTGTGGGCTCACCCCAACGGGCTTCAGCAGGGGGAAGTTCTGCAAGTTGACCCTGAGCTCTCTCTGACCCCAAAAAGCAGCTCTGGAGCACCCTCAGACCCACAGAACTTCCAGAACTCACCCCATGGAAAACTCCCAGCCCCCTCAGGGTGAGGAAAGAAGAGGAGAGGGAGGAAAGAGCGGCCTTTATTCGATGCAGACTCTGGGAGACCCCCTGTGCTCCCCCAGGGGTTGAAGGCAGCCGAGGGTCCCGGGAGGAAGATGAGGCTGCCCAGGGAGGGAGAGGAGCCACCAAGGCCCTGGGCTGGGGTCACAGCTCCGAGAAGAGGGGCTGCTCCCTCACACTGGCCACGACGGGGACGGGGCTGCGGCGGGGGCTGGCCAGGGGCACGTGGGCACTGACGAAGAAGAAGGGGATGTGGCTGATCTTCCCCGAGGACCAGCACTGGAAGGGAAGAGGACACAGAAGAGAATGAGGGTCCAAGATCCCAGACACCTTCCCCCCACCCCGTGTCAGACCACCCAGCACCAAGGGAGGATTGACTCACCACGGTCAGGAGGGCTCCTCGTGGGAAGCAGGGGTGGAAGGCGATGATCTGGGGCTGGGCACCGCGCTCGCCCCGCACGAACCCGCTGGGGGGGGCAGGAGGAGCCACGGTTATGGCACAGCCACAGAAACACCACACTGCCAGGGCCAAGTGGAGACACCCGGGACCTGATCAGATGCACTGGGCAAGGGGCTCGAGGTGGATAATGGCCAACACAGCCCAAACACGACGGGATTCGGAGGTAAAACGGTGCCAGGCCCTGAAGCAGCACGGGATGGGGGTCTCCCCACGGTGAGGAGGGGCTGCTCTTCCCCACCACACCCCCCAGGGGGGTTAAAGGTACTCAACGAACCCAAAACCTGCTGCAAGGAACCCACCCAGTGCCCACAACCACTCACCAGGGCAGGAGCTCGAAGACGGGGCTGTTGCGGGTGCGGAACACGGCGATGGCCGTCTGGCTGCCCGGACAGTCGGGGTGTCCTGCAGGAGGGAGAGGGGCAGGGAGGCTTTCCTTGCTCCAGGGACACGTGGACAGGCCCCTCGGTGCCCCTTTTCCTTGCTGGAAGTGGGATCTTCAGGCGGGACTCACCTCTGATGATCACTGCGAGTCTCTCTCCAGTGGGGTCCCACACCATGGAATGCACCTCTCCTCCAATCCTGGAACCGGCAGGGAAGCCCCCAGGGTCGGGGGGCACAGACCCCCTCAGCCCCCTGGGTGTTCCCAGCACTGGGGGGCTGCTGCCCACCTCTGCCCCCCCAGGTGCCACATCAGACCCACCTCTCGTCCCCGTAGAGCGTCTCGAAGGTGGTCTCGGACAGGTCTGCCACGATCGAGGCTGTTTTGGAGCCCCCCACCTGCCCCTGCATCTCCCCTGAAGAGAACACTCCATAAATCCCACTGAATTGCCCAGATCTCCCCTAATTTATCCATTTCTCAGAGCAACGTGCTGGTATCCCATGTCTGGGATGGAGGACAGGGGACAGCAACCCCCAGGACTGACCCCTCTGCTGACAAACCCCTGAGCTGGCCCTGGACCCCCTCCCCTGCAAAACCCCTTTGTGTCCACACGACTGAGAGGCAACAGGAGGGGGGATAAACCCAACCCCGGGGATTCCGTGCTCTGGGAGACCCCCAAGACACCCCCCTGCATGTCCCAGGTCCCTCAGCCAGAAGTGAGGGACCACCTGGGCCCCACCCCAGCCCTTGGGAAGCCCCAGCTCGGGCAGACTCACCCCGGTACTCAGAGAAGGACAAGGAGTAGATGACGGACTCCCCCAGCACCGTGAAGAGCAGTCGGCTGCCGTCCGGGCTCCAGCACCCCGTCTGTGGCACAGGAAGGGTTTGCAGGGAGACTCCAGTGGGTCCAGGGACACCTCAGGCCTTTGTGGATGGCCCCTCCCCTGGCCAGGGATCTTTTGGAGCCAGCTGGGAGTGGGGGATTTTTGGTAAAACCCACCCAACGTGTCCCCGAGGGCCCTGGAGGTGATGTCTGCACCTCAAATCCTGGGGTCAGTTTGGGGCTACGAGACAGACACTGAGGGGCTGGGGTGTGTCCAGAGGTGGGAATGGAGCTGGGGAAGGGGCTGGAGAACTTGTGAGGAGCAGCTGGGGGGGCTCAGCCTGGAGAAAAGGGGGCTCAGGGAGGACCTTCACAACTCTGGGGAGCCAGGGAGGGGTCGGGCTCTGCTCCCAGGGAACAAGGGATGGGACAAGAGGAAACAGCCTCAAGATGCACCAGGGAAGGTTCAGGTTGGATACTGGGAAAATTTCCAGGGCTGTCCAGCCCTGGCACAGCTGCCCAGGGCAGGGTGGGAGTCCCCAGTCCTGGAGGGATTTAAAAGCCCTGTGGATGTGGCACTTGGGGACGTGAGACTCGACGGTCTCAGAGGGCTTTCCCAGCCTAAATGACTCCTTGCCTGAGGAATCCATCCTACCTGGCAGCGTCCTCTGATAGTGGGCCACCGCTCACACGTCCACATCTGAGCCTCCCACACCCTGCAGGGGACAGAACAGGGTGAATTCCTGAGATCTGCCCCAATCCTGCTGCTCCAGGAGCCCACAGGGTCAGACCCAGCCACCCACCCCCGTGCCCCTCTGCCCCCCCAGCAGGAGTGGGAGCAGTGAGGACACTCAGGATCCAGATCTGCTCAGTTTTGGGGCAGAAAGGAGGGCGAGGGCTGCGAGGGGAACAGGGCAGGCAGGGCACTCACCGGAACACGGCCGAGGGGGTGGCTGCCAGCACCTTGCTGCCATCGGGTGACCAGGCCAAGTAGGTGACACCACCACCCCCAAACCACTGCAGCTGGACACAGTTCTCAGTGGACACGTCCCACACCTGGAGGAGGGGACAAGGAAGGCAAACAGTGACACCAGAACGCCGACTGAGTGTTGAGGGGGTGTGTTTGGATTAGGGGACACAGAGCGATGCTTTCAGGTCCAGTTCAAATTCAGAGCTGCCTGACCCACCCTCTGTGGGAACAGCACCTGTGCCCAGCCCAGCTGTCCCTGGGTGACCCTCTGGGGTGCCCGTGGACCCCACATCCCCCTGGGGAGGCACAGCCAGCTCAGGGCTCCTCACCAGCATGGCCGTGTCGACCGGTGACGCCGAGAGCAGCCGCTCCCCGCTGGGTGCCCAGGCCAGGCTGGTGACAGGGCTGTGCCCTGGGTAGGACAGAACCTGGGCACAGCCTGATGACGGTCTGGAACAGAGAGAGAAACCTCCAGGAAGGGTTGGGACAGGCTGGCAGGACAGGCACCTGCCTGGCTTTATCCCAAAGCCAACCCCAAAGGGGGTCCCGATGGCAGGGCGGGGGGTGTGCGGGGGTTGTCACCTGGTGGAGAGGGAGGTGGGATCCAGGTGCCACACCAGGACACAGCTCTGGCAGGCCACGGCCAGGATGGAGGCACAGAGGGGCTTCCAGGCCATGGAGGCCACGTTCCTCTGCAGGCGATGCTTCAGCGAGGGGACGGTGGCACTGCCGGGGAGGGGACACATGTGACAAGGGCAAAACACGGGACCAAGAGCCTGTGGGCCATGCCCCAGTGTCCTCTGCCAGCTCTGAGCCCAGT